CCAAACATTCTCTTTATTCTGGCTTTAAATCCTTGATCTCGTGAATCGTTGCCAACACAGAATGTATGGCTCTTCACTGATTGGCTGGTGCCCTAACTAGCACTTCCAGGGTTTTTGCGAACCGTCTAGTGTATTCCCATTCCTGACCTAGTCGCTGGAGAGAAATGAAATTGAGCGAAGGCACTAGGTGGCGCCAGCCTGGCTAATATTACACTATTTTCAGATCTATGTTATAATATAACTTCCTCATCAAAACATACCAGGAGTGGTGTTTTGTTTCATTCACACATCTTTATCTGCATTTTCGAACTTCATATACTATGACTAGAATCAGTTAGAAGATTTCAGAACTTGATTTGCCCATCTCTACTGAACTAAAAGTTTGCTGTTCACTTGAAAACTTCTGCTTCTAACATCAAGAGGTGTAACAGTAGTTTGAGCTTTGTAGATGTAGACAGAGTAATAATAAACAATACTCAAACATGTGTGAATGAAACAGAACACAAAACCCAACCATAGTAACGTGTTTTGTGTGAGTGTGTGTGCGTGCGTGTTTGTGTGTGTGAAATATAGGACCTTTAATAGAGGCATACAACAGTTTTGGAATCTGTTCGAATAAGTTTCAATATTAGTGTTAGTATTGGTTAGTATCTTGTTATCACCTTTTTGTGCAACTCAAATTTCAGTCTTGACCCCTCAAATCATTGCATTGCTTTGTTGATTACAAAATGTTGCTAAATATATAGAAATGAGTAAAAAAGATAAAATAGTACATATTGTAAGAATTGCTTTGACCTCTGCTAAAAGAATCGACCTCTTCTACTATTACTGTCCTGATTCCTCTACATTATGCAACATGTCTTATTTATCCTGTATTCCCGAGCTGAGCCTGACCCCAGCGCTTCCTGCAGCTGGGATGGAGCTAATGTTCTTTGGCAAAGTCTTTTTCGCTTTGAACTCTGACTTGCACTGACAGACTTCCCAGGAGGATCCCTAATTTTTCACATTATTGTTTGAAATAAAAGTTTGGACGACGCTTCCAAGATCATGGTTAGGGCTGAGTATCAAAAGGGCGTAACATTTGCGGGTAATGAAAGGTAGTGATAAGGCCTATACTGAAATATTACAAAAATAAACTTTTAATGACTCAAAAAAGAACAATTTGTCCATTAATTTAAGGGCCCGTATTACGCTATCTTCTGATCTCTGTTATAATGTTGTTTCCTCATCACAAACATATCTGGAGTTGTGTTTTGTTTCATTCACATGTTTAACACACAAACCCTGCATGTTTAAGCTGAGTTCTTCCCTTACCTGAAAACGCTCCAACTTGTGATGTCATGTGGCAATACAGGAGGGGCTCCGCTGTGTTTTTAAACTCCATACACCTAGAATCATACTAGAAACAAAACCAGAATACATACTAGACCAGGGGTGGGCAAACGTTTTGACTCGAGGGCCACAAAGGGTTCTAAAATTTGACGGAAGGGCCGAACCAAGAGCAGATGGATCGAGTTTTTTGGTAATCCACCTCATAAGAGAACAAAATAACATGGGATATGTAGAAACTATGTCCCATGTTATTAAAATATCCCATAATTGAAAATCATTACAAAGCTCTACAACAAAATATCTGTCTTTCAAGTTCCATGGTATTTACTGTTTATTGAAATGACTTTGAAAAACACTGAAAATTATTATTATTATTATTGTTCTTGAAGGTCGGCGGGCCGGATTAAGAAGATTAAAGGGCCGTATATGGCCCCCAGGCTGTAGTTTGCCCACCTCTGTACTAGAATAATTGGAATTGGCCATCTCGACTGAACAAAATGTAAACAGTAGTTGTTAACTGGAAAACTACCTCTTTCATGACATCAGAAGGTGGAACAGAGCATTTTAAGCTTTGGAAATGTAGACAGACTAATACTAAAGAGTTACTCAAACATGTGTGAATGAAACAAAACACAACTCCAGGCATGTTTTTAACAGCATTCTAACATGGCATAAAGCTCACAAGAGTTAATTTTGTGTAATAAAGGACTTTTAATAAAAACAGCGGAGGAACAAAACTATTACAAATTAATATGATTTTCTGAAAATGTTGGAATGGTAAGCTTAAATTATTCCACAAAATAATTGCGGTACTCATGTTTTGTCATATTTATTTCCAAAAAGTTCCAAATTTCAAATCTGTTTTTGCCAGAATCTTCCTTTTGATCCCCAGTCCGCCATCTATTCTTTCTTAAAAACAGGTGCTTGGACTGCTCCCTTTGCATGAGGATCTGAACCGCCATTGAGGATATGAATGACCTGACTGCTAGCGAAATCAAAGGAGAAGCCATGCCCAAAAGACCATTGATCTTTGACCCAGAACTCTAACGCCCCTTTCTTCTCCATATTAGCCCCTCTTTTTGGCGTCTTCCCTTTTAGCCTTTGTTTATCCCACACTACTGCCCCGGGCCCTGTTTCCGGTCTGGTATGGGCGAGACAGACCCGTCAATACATTTACGTCTAGAGCCATTTCACGTGTTCCTGTGTGCATTGTTTTGAAGTGTTTGGGAGTGTGCACAGCTTTAAATACGGCAACCGCTCTAGTCTGGGGTGGTTTGCTAAGTGTACCTTTTCTCCCGCTGGTGCAGTTTTCAGATTGGGACAGGTCATAAAGTCTGACCAGATGGTACAAACATGCTTAGTTTCATATCACACTAGCCTTTATTCGCTCAGGGCTATGTGGATGTGCGCCGCAGCTGTACACGCACAAATACTAGCATATGTCGGAGCATGAAAGACAATATAGTTTTGTGCTGAGTGATACCGCGTAGAGTCTTTGAAGTAACGAAACAACTGGTCCCGTTTCATTGTCGTCACTTTTTAAATACACAGATGATCATTAATCAAGGGAAATCAAAGGGGGTTTTATTTAGTTGCGTTTCAAAAGTCTGGTTCCATCTAGTATTAAATCGTATGCTGATAAATAAACTTAAAGCCACATTATGTAATATTTTAGCCATTTTAATTATTTTGGTTGTGGTTTTTGCCCTGAAAAACGAAGAAAAATATTCACCCTTACCCTGAGCAGGCTTGAGTCTTATTTATCCTGGATGAGGGCCTTCTCCTGCTTGTTTATTTGGAAATGTTGTTCACTTTGCTCTAATCTTCAACAGTAACACATGAAACTTTTCTATCCCTATGGAGAAGGTTCCAAAGTACTTAAAGGGCCCATCTCATGCAAAATCAACTTTTCAGAGCTTTCTACTTTCTAAGAGTGATGTGTGGGCCTTGTATATGTTGCCAAAGTGGTTTTTAGATTGATTCTGTGTTTTTTTTTTAACGAATTGCAGCGTATTTCTGCCACCCTCCCAGGTGACAACGAACTGGCACCTATGACGCGTTTGACGTAGCAGAAAGCGCTTGGCACCCGCCCCCTTCCCGTCCCCCTCAGTGTATTGTTCTACACTGCAGTGTACACGATATTATAAGTTTATCTACTAGCGTTTATTAATACTTTATCCGTAATGTTCAGCTGATGTCGATACGGTGCTTGCGCTTCATGCACCTCAAAATCCTCGTCTGATTTCGGGTCCAGCACATAAGACTGAACTGTATCGCCATGATGAATAAAAGTTTATTCCTACCGCTATCAGACCGTTAAACAGGTTGTGTGGCTGCAGGGCTGTACACTTATGCCACAGGGTGCACGCCTGTCTCCCCCTCCCTTCCTGAGATGGGATGAGCAATAGCTGGCCTTTCACAGTTCCTGGTCTGTGACTGCCTCCAAGAAATCAGTAAGATTTCATAACTATTGTGTAATGGATGTTCCAAAACCCAAATTGAGCCAAAATCTAAGATATAAACTCTTAAATCTATCAGAAAGTGACTTAAAAGTAGTCAAATTATGTGTCCATGCAGCAAGCTAATTTTACTTGACAAGTTATCTTAAAATAAACTACCTCCAGAGTAGAATTAAGCAGTCTCAGAACTAGCGGTGTGCAAAATTATCAAAATATCAATATATTGTATCATTTAATGTGATGATACAGTATCAATATCATGGGCTGATGTATTGATATATAAGAGTATTTTTTGTTATATTTTACTAAATTCTTTTGTTACAGCGCTACAGTTTTGTTGCTTGTTTAGTGAAAGGAAACTGGTTTATGCAACACATTTGACATATTCACTGTTTTGAGGATTGGGTGTGTTTCATAAGAACTTTGCACAAGAAGTGGTTTAACAAAAACTTTTAGGATCCCAGCCATTATTTTTTATTGAACCGTATCGAATCGATTTGAAATATATCGAATCAAAAGCACACTGTATTGAGATATGTATCGTATCATGGCCTGTGTATCGTATTGGCAACGTCTTAATGATACCCAGCCCTGCTCAGAAGTATTTAGTAGATAATAAATCTGAAAACAAGTTGAGTAACACGATATAAGTTTTAAAATCTTGGTCAGATCAGAGAAATTTGCAGTGTATCTTTAATATGATCATGATTTTAACAATCCACAAATTGTTCTAAAATAAGAAAACTGACATTGACACCCAAAAATATTTTCTGACGTAATCTGGAGTCATTAGCATTTTTAAATACTGTAGCTCATTCAGTGATACTATCTGTCGGCCACCATTTAAGTTCTTAATTAGCCCATAAATCTTCAGGATAGTTGGCAGGCTTTACTCAATTTGCATGTAACAACATAATAAACTGTATTTACTGTTGAACTTCAACGTTATATTACACAATCACAGGTTCAGAAAAGTTGTATAGTTGATAGAAATGTGTTTTTTCTAACCTGCAGGGTGGTGGTTCAATCCCCACCACCAGCATTATTGTAAGACAAAGTCAAGACACTTCACCTGCCTTGTCTATCTGAAACAAATGACAGCTGCTGTGACCATTTTTACTCTAAAAAACAATCTAACTTTTATTTCTTTCTAATATCTAACCATAATATTATACAAAATTAACTTATTATTTGTTCTGTTTCACTCAGAACTCAAGTCGGCACCATGGACGAGGACCAGTGCTACTACAACGAGACCATCGCCTTCTTCTACAACCGCAGCGGCAAAACCCTGGCTACGGACTGGAACGCCGTGAGCCGCCTGGTGATGGGCCTGGGTATCACCGTGTGCATCTTCATCATGCTCGCCAACCTCCTCGTCATGATCGCCATCTACGTCAACCGGCGTTTCCACTTCCCCATATACTACCTGATGGCTAACCTAGCTGCTGCCGACTTCTTCGCCGGGCTGGCTTACTTCTACTTGATGTTCAACACGGGACCTAACACGAGGAGGCTAACAGTTTCGACGTGGCTGCTACGGCAAGGTTTGATCGATACTAGCTTGACTGCTTCCGTCGCTAACCTGCTAGCCATCGCCATCGAACGCCACATCACTGTATTCCGGATGCAGCTACACACGCGCATGAGCAATCGGCGAGTGGTGGTTGTCATCGTGATTATTTGGACAATGTCGATCGTCATGGGCGCCATTCCGAGTGTGGGTTGGAATTGTATCTGTAGCTTAAAGTCGTGTTCCAATATGGCGCCCCTGTACAGCAACTCCTACCTGGTGTTTTGGGCGGTGTTCAACCTGGTGACCTTTGTTGTCATGGTAACGCTGTACGCACACATCTTCGTTTATGTGCGCCAGAGGACCATGAGGATGTCGAGGCACAGCTCCGGACCGAGGAGGAACAGGGATACGATGATGTCTCTGCTGAAAACTGTGGCCATTGTGTTAGGTAAGAAACAAAAATACAAGCACACTCAAGTTTTAAGTTAATTTACAGTATTTTTTTTTTCTTTTTTCATTCAAACATGTTGAGTTCTTCTCTCAGAATGAAAACACTCTATAATGTGGTAATACAGGAAGTACTCTACTGTGTCCATACACCTTCACTAGCATCATTTGGATAATTTCAGCCCTGGAATTGCCTATATCTACTAAATAAAGATAAAAAAAGATAGCTGTTTACTCGAAAACTACCACCTTATGACAGAGCAATTTGAGATTTGGAGACGTAGGCAGACTAATAATAGTCAGGCTGGCGCCACCTAGTGCCTCCGCTCAATTTCATTTCAGTGACTAGGTCAGGAATCGAAATATACTAGACGGTTTGCAAAAACCCCGGAAGTTGTACACCATGCACTGGCCAGGAGAGCTGTGAAGCCATGATGTCAAACTCAAGTGCCTGTCTGGGTCCCTTTTGTGGTACAGCACAACAGTAAACAAAGCGGTCGAGATGGATGTAGACGAAGACATACATTCTGTGTTGACAACGATTCCCGAGATCGAGGATTTAAAGCCAGAACAAAGGGAATGTTTGGTGAATTTTATCAAGGGGGAAGACTTTATTGCTCTTCTTCCTACAGGATTTGGCACATGTCATGACCAAACAGCAGCAATTGGTTAAATGACAAAAAGTACCCGCCTACTGTCGAGCGAACAAATCCTAATGCTGCGCGGTCAGACAGTTTCCACAAAGTGAAACCAGCTGATGAATCAGGCTAGACTAATAAAGGGTTACTGAAAAATGTGTGATTGAAACAAAACACAACTCTGAGTATGTTTTTGAGGAGCTAACAACATTCAAACAAGCTCAAAAGAGTCAATTTGTGTAATATTAGGACCTTTTACCATCTTTTGGACTATAAGACGCCCTCTAAATTCTTCCTAAATTGTTGCAATGTCTACTGGTTTACTGCTTCTGATCTTGCAATTGTTAAAAGTTGGACAACGCCACTTAAAAAAATATTTCACTCTCAAAAAAAAAAAAAAAATTTAATTGTACTGCAACAGTTGCTTCATTGATGAATGGACATATGTCATCAGGCATTTTTGATGATCAGATTTCACCTAGACATGTAAACACTGCAGTAATCAGATTAAATTATTGGGTTATGTGAGTATTCTAGTTATCTGATTTTGTGGGCCATGTAAACGTACCCACTGTTACATCATCAAAAGCCATTTTCGCTCTCTTATATGTCAACACACAAACCAAAAACGGAAATACCAAGATATACACTATTCCACACAAGCTTAACACTAGCCTCTTGTTACTGATTCTAACTTTACTTCTTCGAAATGGCTCTTTTGATTACTTCTAAGGAGATCAGTCCAACCTTTGCCCATTGAGTTGGTGTACATGTACTATATAATATTGCAGTATCACAAGGATCTTCTTATCAACCATTGGCAGGCTAAACGTTGGTCCTGTGTGGGCAGAAAGTGGAACAAGATGAGGTCCTCCACAAACAATGGTGCTGTTGACTGGTGGGACTTGAGTGGTCAGTCATTCTAACCACTGGTTTCCCCTCACACTGATAGGGTTCCTTACAGAGATGCCTAGATGTCTCCTGCACAAACCAAAACATTTAACAGAAAGATAGCTTCACAATTGTATTCATAGATTTTTTTTTTTTTTATTTAAGATTTTTTATTTTTTTTATTTTCTTCTAAGTTTTAGACTATGGCATCTCATAAATTTATCCTAAAATTGCCCTAATTCATGACCCACTGTTTTTTGGGTTATTTTTTGATACCACTTAATAACTTTTATATATTTTTTTAAATTTTATTTTATGCATTTATTTTGGGCAAGTTAAGATTAACATTTATATACAGTGGAACATATAACATAAGTGAAATCATAATAGAAATGCAAATAACAAACATTTTTTTACTATCATTATTATTATTATTTAGTCCAAAAAGGAGTGGGAAGGAGAAAATGTATTTAATCCCACCCCTACTCTTCATAACTTAACACAATTTGCTTCTTTTGAGTTTTTCAGACAAAAAAGGTGTGTAACTTTTCTGTTGAGGGTTTGGTGGAGGATCTGCTTGTCTCCATGGTGATGTTATTGCGTGGGACGTTCCATAGTATGGTATCAAACAACTATAACTTGTATTTATTCCATTACAAGTGCTTTTAATTCCCAAAACTACCGCAAAAACATGCATTATTACTGTGAGCGGGCGCTTCTCCACAGATCTGAGCTGTAATTTGGCCTGGTGATGTGGCCTCCATGGAGATAGTTAAATGAAATGCCATACTGTAGAAAGTTTCAGGAAAAAAACAATAACATCTACATCAAGTCAAGCAAGTTGCAGACCCTTTACTAGAAAAGTTACACAGTGTATCTTTAATTAGTTCATTATGAGTTAAATCTATGCTTTTCCAAGGCTACTTAAAATGTATTAATTGTAAGTGTTACCAAAATGTCACATTGAATGAAGTCATAACTGATAAATCTTTATTTTTATTTAATTTTTAGATAGTTTTTAGCTATTATTTCAATATTTTTGTGCTATTCAAATACACTTCCAGGTATTTATATGAAAAAAACACTTAGGTTATAATTCTTGACCAAATTATATCCTCCTGTCACTAAGCCCAAGCAATACCTTTTAATACTGTAACTCCAACTTACAGTTTTTGTCTTAACTCATATTAAGTAATTCTCTTAACATAATTCCAAATAGCTCTGCACTATCTGACAGTTTTACGACTCAGGCTTCAGTGTTGATGTGTTTTCCACAGTTATGTTCCTCAAACTCCCCTCCTCTCATGCAATATATTACACTCTATAGGCTTTAGTATCGACCAGTGGTGGAATGTAAAGTAAAATAGCAATGTACTGTATTTAAGCAAAAAATGTAGGTATTTGTACTTTACTTATGCACATTTTAAAACCTACTTCACAACATTTGAGTGCCTGTATTGATACTTTCTTCTTCACTACTTTTTTAACCGAACTGAAGTATTTTTATTAGTATTTGAGGACTACTGAAAAGACTGAGGATTTATTTTTAACACATTTGGAGTTTCAAAATTCAGACCAAATCTTTATCACAAACAGTACATTTGAAGCTTTACTATACCTCAAAATATGCACGAAATACTTTGGACTTTTTAGTCTTTAAGTACATTTTTGAACAGGTACTCTAATACTTTTTTTCATATGATACTTTTACTTGAGTATTTTTTAGCTCTGGGATCTGTAGTTCTACTTAAGCAACAAAATCGAGTACTTCTTCCACCGCTCAGTTCTTCAAGTACACTTCAGTCACGCCCTAACAAAGTATTAAGTGTGGGAAAGTAACTTGGGTAGTGCCTGAAAGCAGGATGTATCAGCCCTAGACAAAACATACCAGGGGATTGCATGTGATCAGTCTCCTATGTGCACTGTTATCTCATCCCACTGACTCTGTTGTCTTTGCTCCGTGCTTAACAGAAAGCAGCAGACACTTGGAGCCTACATTGTTAATGAATAGAAACAACTGTAAAAGTATGTGCATGTGTCAAGTGGACGGGTGGGAGTCAGACTAGCGCAGGTAGGGCTGGTAAAAATGTAATGCAATTGCAATTTTGGTCATATTATCAGATTGTGATTCACTCTTTTTCTGTTTAATGCAGCTGTCTGCTCACAAACTGCTAATACAAACATTTTTCCCACCCTCTTCTCCTAGCCTTTGTAAGGATATGACTAAATATGTTTTTTTTTTTTCTTAACAGCAGAAAAAGAAACACCAGAATCACAAAGAGCAGGTTAATATGAACATTTTAAGACCAAAATGACAAGGCTCACTGCAGCAGTTAAAGAGAGAGGGCCACAATATTCCAGTGTAAGTCAATGGGTGACAGAGTTAGAAAGAGCTATGGCCATTTATATGAACAGTCTCTCCAACCTTTTTCTTCTGGGGAGCTACCTTTACAAAAAGAAAATCCCAAAGAGCTACTTTTTTTTTAGCAGTTACAAGAAATTGAGCATAAGAAAGCCTTAGATGGGCAACAGTTCAACACCTATAAAACATAAACCTTTATCCATTTATTAGTGCACAAAGTTAAGCATCAAAATTAGATGTTTACAATGGTAGTTCAAATTTGAGCCATTCAGCATAATAAATATATTTCAGAAATCATTTGGCGAGCTACTTAGAAGGGGGTGGAGAGTTAGTGGTAGCAGCTCCCAAGCTACAGGTTGGAGATCCCTGGTCCAGTGTTTCCCGCAGCACTTTATAGTTAAGGTGGCCGCGTTGACAACAAGTGGCCCCCGTCTTGACTACGTTCCTCCAAACCACGTGAATCCTCGCAAAACTACGGTTGTCGCACTGAATTTCAGCGCACCCATCCCCCCTGTTCCTCACTAACCAACCTAACCTAACCAATTTTCTGTGGGAAACACTGTGGTCTATGGCCTGACAAAGACCAGGTGAGTGAAAAACATGAATTAAATATGGTAGCTTTAAGACTACAGAAAAATACAAAGTGTACATGGAGCATAATAAAAATCTAAAATAGTTGATCTGTAGTTTTGATACTTTGCAGTGACATCACACTGGGGGTGTTCTGCATGCATGTCTGTGGCGAAATGTTCAGCACCTATCATGACACAATGCACACATTAGCAAACACTGCCAAAATATTTTAAGATCATCTGGTCTTATTTAGGTGTTTGATTTTCAGGAAAACAGGTGAGTTTGACTAACAGAAAACCACTGACTAATGCTAGCTGTCGTGTAAGTGTAATTTTATGTTTGAGAAACTTGTAGTTGTAATTCCAACTAAGTCAGCTCTTTATGGTCAGATTGTGTTAAACAAATTAAAGTCTAACTTGAGTAACAGAGCTTCACACCCCTAGGCAATGTTGTTTACATGAGTTGCAGTATTAATACTTTTTTTTTTTTGCAATATTATCCACCCCTAGAGCATTATACACCCTGATTTACAGTAAT